TATAAAACAGAGTAGGAACTGTTTAAAATGCATATAACTACAGACATTTAGAATGTATCTGTGTACCATATGAAGATGTGCTTATTAGTAATTAGAAGCCAAAAAAAAAAAAATATACAAAAAAAAAAAAAAAGAAAACAAACAAAATTGAATTACATCATAAAAAATAAGTTTAAAATTTCTTCCTTCACAACAAAACTATAAGAGAACATCTTGCTCTTTGAATTTCTTGAATAATCAGAATAAAACATATGAATAACTTCTTTGGGAATCATTTAATGTATTTCAAATTACAAGTAACAAACACGAAAATAAAATACACCTACTAAAATCAAATCAGACTGCCACTGTGCACTTTAACAGAAAGTAGCTATACTATACTGTCTAACTAATATGAACAAAAGAAAAGAAAATAAAAAAAGATAAAAAGAAGAGAAAAAGAAAACCAGCTTAGTCTAACAATATTTTTACAAATAATAATAATAATAATAATAATAATAATAATAATAATAATAAAAGACAATACTATTTCCTGATATCAGCAAACATTTTGTACACTTGTAAGGAATTTCTTAACAAAAACATGCTATCACTATATCATCTGAATCAAATCTGTAAGTGCAGACAGAGCAGCATAAGGTTTATCGCCTGTGTGTGTGCTAATGTGACGTCTAAAATTTGTTATACAGTGGGTCGTGAAGGGGCAATGAGAACACTTGTGGAGCTTCCTGTTGACGGGGGCCTTCATTAGTCCCCCGCAACGCCTCCACTGCCAATCCTGTGACCATCTCGGTTCAGCGCCACCTGTTGGGTACGCCTGTCTTACTCAAAGAGGTTTATAAAAGGCAGTGTGTGCTTATGATGAATAATCACAGTTTCTTAAAAAGAGAGCTTATAGTGTCGAGCTTAGGTTCTTTCTCAATGTAAATTGTAAGTTCAAGTAAAATTTTAAGGTTCTAAAAGAAGGATATCTATCACATCAAAATAAAATCATATCACCTACAATGTTTTTGAACTTCATTACATTTGAATCATTGTGATAAAAAGGGTGTTTTTGTGGAATATTCTATAACTTAAAGGTGATAACAATTATAACAATAAACAAATAATATTGCAACTATCAATACTAATAACAATGATAATCACAATAACTAATTGCTACTGACAGATCAATAATTGTAAAAATCATAACAATTACTAATATTATTACTATCATTATCGTTAATAACAACAATAACAACAATAACAATAATAATAATAATAATAATAATAATTATCATCATCATCATCATCATAATGACTGCTAATAAAAATGTCGCCAAAGACGATGATGGTAATGACAATAGTAATAATAACTCATCACAAAAAGAACAATAAAAAAATAACTGTAAAAACAATAATCATAAAAATTATAATCATAATCATAACAAAACAATACTACTACTAATAACAACCATAATAAATAAAAATAATACCAATGATTATACTTGCAATAACAAAATAATAACATTGAAAATTAAAAAGAGAAGATAGAAAACAAAAAGAAAAAAGAAAAAAATGATGATGTTGATGACGATAACAATAATAACATCATAAGAAGAACAATAATAAAATAATAACTATAACAAAAACACTCATAATAACAACAATAACAATAACAATGCTACTAAAAACAATTATAAAAAAAAAAAAAAAATAATGCTGGCAATAAAAAAATAATGATACTGAAAATGGGTATAAAGAGATGAAAGATAGAAAAGAAAAGAAAGAGAAAATATGTGAAGAAAAAAAAAAATAAATATTGCATTTCAGTACATTAGCTGCAAACTCTACTTTTTACAAGGAAAAGAATATTGATCTTTAAAATGCCAAAAGCTAAACAAAAAAATCTATTAAAAAAAATAAAAGGATTTTTCTTACTACAGACCAATGTGAACTGCACATAGCCATGGAGACAATTTTGACAACTTGGGTTTTAACTTCAAATGAAGAAACTCATCATATTGAAATTCTGCCTCAAAGAAAAGCAGACAAAAGAAAACAAAACAAAAAGGAAGACAATTTCTCTCCTCTCTATTTCATATTCTTCTCTATTTCATTTCTTCATGGCATCCAAACTATTCTGATTTTACTTTCCTCAAAATTCTTAGGATATGAAGCAACCCCAGCTAATTTATTTGATCAACAGAAACCACATTAACATTCTATTTTTCACCTTCTTTTCACCATGTTCATAATATGCAATCTGATCATGCCTGGTGCAGCAGTAAATCCATTTCCATTCTTTCTGAACACTATCCTGTACTAAATAGGCAGGGGTGAGGGGGGGATTTGGTCATAACTCCTTTATTTTTATGTATTTAGCAGAAATATTGTGTCACGGAATTGCTAAAGCCTACTAGAATTACAGATTTTCGAGCATTTTCTGAAGTATTCGTCGAAAATTCATCGCGACGGCCCCCTTAAACAGAAATCTGTACTATATCTATTTGTTCTTTTCTACAACTAACACAGTTAAATGTATGACTAAATCATATTATCATTCTCTTCTCTAAGACAAGGTAAATTGTGCAATGGCAAAATTATCTAACTTTTATGTAGCATTGTCAGTACTTATTTGATTCTTATATCATTTCCTTTTTATCTTTTATCAACTCCTGCATGCCAGTCTAGGGATATATAATTCCTAAATCATCATTTGTAGTGTTTATGATGCATCGAGTTACTCATATACTGTATTTAGTTATAATTTCCATTTCATCTATTATCTTATGTGTTGGGTTCAGTATCAGCAGAATGATAATACACATGTAAAAAAAATTACTTTTATTGCTCTAACAATAAAGTTTACAATTTCAACATTTAAAGAAAAACAAATCTATTTCACATTATAGTTATTACTCATTCAACTGAAAACAAGTAAAGAAAAAAGTATAAATCATTACAATAAAACTTAACAAATTGATAAGAACTCTAATCTTAAATAAATACTAATTTAAATGTCAAATGCTTGGTATGCTTTTACATAAGGGAAGGGCAATGTATTTTGGTTTAAGCATCTAAACTAGTAACAAGTGAAGAGTTTACTTTCTGACCTGTTGTGTTACATGATATAAATTACTCATTATTCTTTGAGAAATCAATGCAAAAACAAATAGGGAATAACATTTGGGCAACTATTATGACTATTTACATTATTGTTCTACACTACATTGTTGTTCATAGCTGATATCTTTCTATAAAAATATGAACATTTTCATGACATTAATTCATTACAGTATAGAAGCAAAGTGAGTGAGTTACAATTTACCACACAGTACACTAAAATTCTCAATATACCTAGAATTTTCTTGTTACTGATAACACATAATACTCGTTTTTATTCAGAGACAAGAGAAGGATTAATAAATCATTAAACATGATTAATCATAATACATTTCAGTATCTTAATGCAAAGTTGTACATGTACATGTATGTATGTATGTATGCATCTCCTGAAGTAGCGCTTAAATTTGAAAAATACTAAGTGTCCAAAAAAAGAATCCCAAATCTTGCTAAAGTGCTTTGTAGTATTCCAACTTATCACAATCAGACTAGTTTTTAGAACAGTAAAAAAAGTTTCCTCCTACTGCACAAATAGTTAAGAGATATGAAAATAACCATAAGCAAGTAGACCACACCAACATTTCCATCATCATTCTTCCAAGCCAGCTAACTCACACCACATCTGGCAGTGGTCTGTCCATGCTACTATGTGCATGTTGAGTAAGCATGTGGTTATTCAGATCAACTCTCCTTGCACATGAGAGAGGGCAAAAGGAACATCTGAAGGGCTTGACTCCCGTATGCCTTTGCATGTGACGATAGAGGTGATCTCTTGCATTAGAACGATATGGACAGTAATGACAGGCATAGGGCTTTTCCCCAGTATGGGTTGACATGTGTTTCCGGTAATTTGTTATGAAATGACTGGCATAGGGACAATAGATACATCGGTGCATCTTGCGAGTCTTGTGTCCTCTCTTAGAGGCTGCGGTTGGGCCTCTGGCTTCCCTCTGACCTTCGTGATTCATCTCCACCTGTAGAGTTATGGCCATCTTACTTTTACAGTATTACATGACTATTATATCAAACATATATTAAGTCTATTAGAATGACATAAATAATAAACACAGTATATAATGATAAAAAAAATTACAACAATATCACTTTTTCTTTTTTTCTTCATATAGTAAGTTTTTGCACCAAGAACTAATTTTTATAAAGCATACCAAGATTAAAGAAAGTCTGTGTTCCTTAAATTCAAAATTAATATAAAGAGGGTGAAGGGAGGAGAGGAGTGAGAGAAAGGAAAAGAGAGGAAGTGATAGATAGAAAGGAAAAAAGAGAGGGATATGTGTGAGAAAAATGTGAAGGAGACAAGAAAAGAAAGGCTGAGAAAATCAGTAGAATGAGAGAGACTACCAAAGTGTAGTCCAATAATGCCAATTTTCCATCATTCATTTTCATTTACAAATCCTCAGATTCTAATATTCATTACCATTATCATGCATAGACTGACTTTTCTTCATAAAAAGAAAAAGAAAAAAAAAAGAAAAAAAAAAAGTACATAATAAACAAGGGAAATGAAAAACATAATCATCAGATTTAGATATATATATATTTTATATATGTGTATATATATACATATATTTTCTCATCAAGATATTGTATAGTAAATGCAAGGATGCACCCTATTGTATGTATTATTACCCACTTGTCTGAGTTGATAAGCAAAGATTTCTCTGGGTTGTATCTAAGATGTTATTCTACCTCTTATATAACTTTATAAATATAGAACAAGGCAGTGCATAATATCTTGGGCTAGAAAATTCAATATGCTTTAATTCCACATAAGGGAGACATGATCACTTAAAACTTTGATTTGCAACATCTCAAAAGTTATTTTTCTTGTGAAAGAAATAAGCTTCAGAAACAATTTCCATTTGATCTAACTGAAGAGTGGTGAAAATGTAGAAGTTGTTTTTGTGATTAATTTACTGTTTGGAATTCTGAATATGTGGAGCAGAGGTGCCTAAGGGAGGGAATAAGTGTGGGAAGGGGGGCTACATCTATTACTTCATATGATGGAATGGAATAATATCTTAAGACTACATAACAAATGGATAATATAAACAAAAAAACTGAGTATGACTATCAATTCAAATCCATCTAATCTGTTGATGATCTAAATCTCATGTATGAAATATGAATATTAATGTTGCTAAAAAGGCCTACATGCATTCATGATACAAAGATGTTGCTCACTTCAAATTGAGGAAGACGGACAACCAAATGAAATATTTATGTATAAAGTTTCAATCATTAATTTGTAAAACCATCTTTGGTGATTTTCTTTTTTGCACTGTATAATGAAGTGGATGTAGTTTATGATAGTAGCAGTATGGGGCAGTGGGAAGGAAGCAATGGAAGGAAGAAAGGGAAAGGGAAGAGGAGAGAAGGAGGAAGGGGAATGGGTGGGAAGGAGGAAAGAAGGGTACAAGAAGGGCAGGAGAGAGGAAGAGAATGAATATACTGGTGTCCACTTTTAAACCTTCAACACTAACCTATATATGTTCTGAGTACACATTTGAAATCTTGCAACTCTGTAAACTTTCAATTTCTATCAAATTTCACTGAATCTTATTAGAAAAGAATACAAAAATATGAGTCCAAATTCAAAGCATTTAAATATTACAGATCACACACATTATGTTTCTGAATACAACCATTATTCAAGAGATTTGGAAGTTTTTATAATCCAGATTTTTGTATTTCTTGGCCATACTATCTCAAACAAGCATGGGTCTTTGCCTGTCCTACTAGGTGCAGTCTTGAAATAATCAAGACTCCTTAAATTTATCTAAAACAGTAAGAAAATAAAATAAACAGAAAAAAGTAAATCCTACAAGAAAAGTGAGAATGGTTAGAACATACCTGCACATTATAACTAAACTATATTAATTCAAGAGTCAAACTTCATATTGTTGATTTTCCAGTCTTCTCACGCCTAGTTTACACTGAACTATAGTTCCTGATGACTTCTACCTTTATAGTCTTCAAATAATATTAATCAAACCGGTACACTGGGGATAAGGGAGCTCATTTGATGAATATGAAACGTTTTATATACAATATACAGAAGTTTGATACATGTAGAATAATGTACAAAATTTGTGACAGATGCAATTAAATTTCTTTATGAGAATCCTCTCACACCTCACTAATACTCATTTAAATCATGTTGAAAAAACTAAGAGAAAGTACATTTTCACTAGTGAAAAACATAATGTTGGGATCCCTCAAATAATCTTCATAACAGATATCAGTTATTCCCTTTAACTAATCTTCATAATAAAGATATCAGTTTTACATAAAACAATAGGAATATGACTTTTACTCTATTCAGGTACATTCAATGGAATTCAGATTCTTTAACAGTAGATCCAGAAAAAAAACTAAAAAATAAAAATAAAATAAATAAATAAATAAATAATCAACAAATAATGGATAAATAAAAATATATAAATAGAATTTGAAAAATAAAAAAGAGAAACATCTCAGCTAGGGAAACTTTTCGAAAAGGCTCTCCACACTCCATCTTTATTCAAACAAACAAGTTCTAAATAGGTAATATCATCCAAGAGCAACCCGAGACACCAGAGTGATTTTGAAGTGTTATATCATCCATTCAGTATTACAGGCAGACGCCAGTATGATATGTACAGCAACACAGAAAACTATCGTTAGGAGGGGTGTCAAATCATTTAATAACAAACAGAACCCTCAAGTTACAGAAGGTTTGGTATTTTGGATTTCAAATTTGTCTCATTCTGATTCAGGGCTTGAATAGCAATTTTAGAGTTCATGTGGATTCACTATGAGATGATGATTTTATTCCTGTAAGGTATAGAATATGCCTTGCAATGTTCAGATAAGCCACACATATCCAATTCAGGGATACCAAGTTTCGTAGTGTTAACAACTATATTTCAAAAGGTATCGTTGCTTGTGTCAGAAAGTTTAGCATGATTTTCTAACAATATTTTTCTGTGTAGCTGTACATTGATGCATGTAAACCATCCTCATGTCAATAATTCATATTCTTCTCTCATGCATGATAAAAATGGAACTGTTTGCTGGGATACCTATTTAAAGTTTGAATCAATTCCACCTGTGTTGCAGACTTACACACTGCTGTCTTCAGTTGCAGATCGTTGGGCAAAAATCACTTATGGTGAGATACTTTCTAAACAAGCTGATAGTTTTGAGGAGCTTGATAGTGCTAGTTTTGCTGTCCATCTCTATGTTTCAATCTGTTAATCATTCCTGACAGTAGAGTTTTTGACATGTAGGATCTCTACTGACCACCACTTCTGATGGTAATATATAATCTTTGTACGAGAAGTCATGACAAAAATACCAACATGAAACATATCAAACAAAAACAAATTGCTACAGATCCTTCTAATGATTGCATCAACTTTGAATATTATGGTGAATCATTATGTGATTCCTTAAATCATCACTATCTACAGCCTGATAGGAACAGTGTGGGCATGTTGATGATTTATCTCCTGAGTGTACACACGACACATGCCTTTTCAGAAGCACATCTTGGTCAGTTGTGTATGGACAAAAACGGCATGCAAATGTTTGACCTTTTGTGAGTGCGTAAATGCCTTTCTAAACTCTGCTTTGTAATAGCACTATAGGCACAGTATTGGCAAGAGTATGGCTTCTCGCCTGTGTGTCTCCTCAT